CGATCTTGTCGATGTATTTCATTATTAGTTACAGCTAGAGTGCTGAAATTTTCAGGAATAAAAGATCTTGATTAGATATATATGTGATAAAAATTTCAAACCTCTACATCAAGACAAAGTAACAAAAAAAATCTATTAACAATTTATTCCCGATTATTATGGGATACCCTTGTTGGTAACTCGTATTTCCTTAAAAGTCCAGTATTGGGACGAATCCTTCACATCATGTGTTGTACTCACTGAGCTTTACAAAATGGTCAATGCCAGATTCGAAAAGGAGCTTCACACCTGGAGACCTTCCCTCGTAAGTTGAACAAATATGTCTTTTAAATTTGTTGTTCTAGTTGCTGTCGATGGTAATTGAATTCATTTCCAGTTTTTTATCTTTTTTTTCTTCAAGCATCAGTAACCACGATCCAAAAGTTGGCAATTCAAGAAAATCAAGGAATTTAACAAAGATACATAAGCTAGTGAGCTATAAGTGAACAATATAATGGAATTCAAGCAATTCAAGGAATTCTAGGAATTCAAGGAATTCTAGAAATTCAAGGAATTCTAGAAATTCAAGGAATTCAAGGAATTCAAGGAATTCTAGAAATTCAAGGAATTCAAGGAATTCAAGGAATTCTAGAAATTCAAGGAATTCAAGGAATTCAAGGAATTCAAGGAATTCAGGGAATTCAAGGAATTCAAGGAATTCAAGGAATTCAAGGAATTCTAGAAATTCAAGAAAATCAAGCAGTTCTAGAAACTCTCGAAATTTTCTTGCATTGCTTGATTTTCTCGAATTCCTTGAATTACGTCATAGTCTAAAGTTATCATTCCATATTTGATGTGTCTTTCTTGAATTCCTTCAATTTCCTTGAATTTCCTAAATGGCTTGATTTTCTTGAGTTTCTTGAATTCCAAGGCAATCTCAAGAATGAGGGTGAAGGCATCCTCTTCGCGAACATTACACTGGAATTCAAGAAATTCAAGAAAATCAAGGAATTCAAGAAATTCAAGA